TGAAATAGCAAACGGAGAGGGAAATTGAGATCGGTGGGTACATTTTTAATCTGCGAGAAAGTAAAATTATTTTAAACAAAGGATAAAATCATGGACAAGGTAGTACCCTAAGTGCTTTTCTCTACTTTTTAACTCAAGTCTGAGTTCTAGAAATTTAGCGCGGGCAGAACTCCTTAACACCGGGGAGGGTCCTAAATAATTTTTGGGGAGAGTTCAAAACCACCTTTTTTCGCGGGCAGGTCTTTGGGACTCTTTTTGATTTCAAACCTAGGGGATTTTTTTTTTTTTTACAGCCAACGAAAAGTAACCCATACTCCCGTTCTTCTTCTAAAACGGAAGTCTGTATGGCACACGGGTAATAACCCCTAATGCTTCGTTCTTCTTTGAATCAAGTCTGATCCGAAGAAACCAGCCAAATTTCCCAGGCTCTGTAGCCCGGCGAGGGTTTTTGAAAATTTTGGGGAGATTTTTAATACTTAATTTTGCCAGGGGGAGCGCCCCTAGGGAAATCTTTCGTTTTCAAAACCTAAGGTTTAAAATTTTTTTACTGCAAAAAAATGCACAAGGGCGTCCGATCTCATACCCCAAAACCAGGGGAAAATTTCTAGAAGTCGAGTCCACGTGAAAATCCCAGCCCCCCACCGGGGATTGAAACCCCCAAAACCTGTCACTCGAGGCGGGGCACCCTGCCTCGAGACCCCGCAGCCCCCCCCCCCCCCCCCCCTTTACCGAATTTAAATCATATGGAATGTCTTTTTTTTTTAGACCTACATTTAACTACATAAACCCTGTAAGGGGAATAAATCACTGATATACTTATTTTTAAAAACTCTTCAAGGGGGGGATTTCCGAAACCTTTCAAAAGTCCCGGGACTATCCGCCCCCAAACGAGCCACACTAAAAATTTTCAAGGGGTTAGAGCATGGAAACCTTGGAAAACATATAGTGATGGCATTTTGGAACACCTTAATAAATGAACATCTCTTGAAGTTCTCTTTAAAAAGCTATCAAGAAAGTAAAATACCCCCCCCCCCCCTTTCCCCCGCACTTCGCTAGGTCCAGGGAAGAGAAAAAAGACAAAGAGGGCGTTTCCATTGTTTTTATGGGGTTTTGGGTATTTTTATTTTTTGTAAGTGGTTACAGCTGAGCTTGGAGGAGCTAAATGTGTTGTGATAGATCTATCCTTGGTTTTTGGGGTATGTAATATGTTTAGGCGGCTGCTATGTGAAAACGCTTTTTGATTTTTTATTGATGATTGATGATTTACGTTCAACCCCTAGGGCATCATCTCATCATCATATAGGGCCCTTTCCCCACGGCGTGGGCGTCATGCCTTCCATATCCGATCCCTCAATGTTCAGTTCGGGGCCGACACATCTCCGCCCTCAACAAGACCCTTAAAAATCTTCTCTGTTGTCCTTTCTTATCCTCCTTTCCCCAGATCTTTTCATGGGCACAAATGTTCTATTTTCCTCTTCCTCATAAATGGCCCAAAAATATGACTGCTCCTTTTTGATGTCCCGTGAAAAGTTTTCTTCGGGCCCCGTCTCTTTCAAAACCCCTTTTGGGTTTTTTCTTTTTTTTTCTGTCCAAGGGATTCTAAGCTTCTTCGAAAACCAGTCTCGGGGGACATCACGCCGAGCTATAACACCCGGGCATAAAATGCAAACCCTTCGAATGCTGATGATCACCCCAGGGAAAGGGCCCAAAACCCCTTCAACCCAAGGTTGGTTTTTTTAGGGCCCCCAAAAACAACCCCAAAGGGGGGCTTAAAAAAAAAAAAGGGGGTCCCCAAATTTAAACCGTATTTTTAATGACGACTTTCTACCGCACCGAAAATCACAAAGCGATAAACACCCGATAACAAAGTGCCACCATGGGATGAGGATCGCCGTGGAGAGGCCCAGAAACCCCGTTCAGAAAATTGGCCTATTAGACCTGCTATATTGCGGGCCCCCCCGAAAAACCGGGTGGGGCTTTAAATAACAAAAATTTCGTCCGATAAGGGCGAAAAGGAAATCTAATATATATAAATCAATGTTTTTTGGTTTTTTTCACCCCCATAATCGGAAATACTGAACCGATTTAGCTGAATTTTTGGTATGTTTGTTTTGATACCGGATTTTGAACTGTCGTGGTTTGAAATTCAACCTTCCTGTTTGAGATAGGGGACCACAATTTTTGCAAAAATATACGCAAATAAAATTTTTTAACTTTTTGTGATTTCTAATTTAAACCACGTAGTAATTGCGCATGCGCCCCCGTAGCCGAACGAAAGGGTTCCGCCCTTCGCCGCCCATTACGTGCACCAACGCCTTAATCCAATAGGTCGAGG